TCTATCCTTAGTATGTTTGATGCGTCCAAGCCGTTCTTCTTCGTCCAGTTGACTTGTACACAAAGCTTAATTTGTACACCAATTGTTATCCAGGTAAAAATACTATTTCATACATCTATTCAAAATATATTTTGCGTACTAGAGTTGTTATGCAGGGTAACGTTCGTATTCCAAGACCGCAGAACAGTGCCACATTGCCTGCCACATTCATGCGCAATGCATTCCGAAATGTCAATTAATTTGCTTTGCATTTCTTATAAAGGCCCGTTTACACTTGTGATTTTTGCAGAGCGATTCTTGCGGCGATCGTCGCGCGACCATCGCCTGAGTTTCGAACATGTTTGAAAACTGGCTGCAACGTCGGGGCGATTTTCCATCGTCGCAGCAATCGCAAGGCTGTTTACACGTACATTTTGAGTTGCGCGATAACAAAGTAACGATTAGTGTAAAAAAGACTTAAATATGGGATTGTCACTCTGAAATAGTGGTAACCTCGTTTAGAGCGGTGATACAATGACTAACGACGCATTTCGGTACTCAAAATCACTTTCTTCAGACTCAGCGTTTTTTGAAATAGCTTCGTATGTTTACTAGAAAAAGATGTAAAGCTATGTAACGATATAAATCCTAAATCCTGGTCTAAGTGCGTAAGCTAAACGTCGTAGCTTACCAATTGGCATTGAATTCTTTGAATTAAGTACATGTAAAAGTAGGCCGTTTGACTCCATTGCGTTCGACTGAGCATTTGCTAACAACTGACTGTGTACGAGTTTCTGTTCAAAATGAAGAGTGCTTTTCATTCATAGCGCGTGAAACAAATTGTAATAATGAAAGTGCAAAATGATATACACTGAAAAGACAAATAAAAACGTGCAAAATAAAAAGCATTCTCTAAAGTATATTTTTCAGGTATATGAAAAACATCATCCTACTTCACACGAATTAATAAAATTGAATGTGGGGTTGACTAATCTGGTGTTTGACCCGAATTACACTGCGTTGATAATACGCAGAGGATAAAATGGTAAAAAGTTGATAATTTATGGAATGAATGAAAATGAATAAATAAATGAATAAATAAATAAAGGGATGAAAGAATCAAATTTATAAACTGACCTGAAATTCACTATTAAATGCGGTAAGTTCGTTAAGTTCGTAAGTTTTGTCAAATTATATTGTCCTGGTATAGTTTTGAATTCTCTTAATATATCTTCCAGGAAATTCCTCTTGATCATCTTCACCACTGYAGCAAGAAATGATAAAGTCTTTGTAGTGATCAAAATCGTTCTCCTTCACTCTCATTTCGATTTCTGCGGCCGCATCTTTGCACCATTCAGGAAGAGACATTCGGTAGTCGGGTTCGTTSTCATAGTTTGCTTTATACGGCTCTTCTTCAGAACTTATTGAACTATTGCTCACATCACCTCTTAAAAACTGTAGTTCAGGATCAGAGTCCAAGTCGATCGTGTCCTCAAACTTTGGAACTGTTTCCAGTTTTTCTAAGATAATTCTCGATGGTATTTTTCGTGGTTTTGGAATGGGTTGCGATTTCGGCGTTGGTGGAACAATGAACGGAGGAGGTGCGGTCTTTTCCAAGTCGCGAAGGAAAGTCAAAACGTTCAATATTTCGTAGTTATAGTTTTGAAAATTCTCTATCTTTGTTCCAATGGGAGGTAAAACGGTGTACACATTGAGATTGTTGTAGAGGTAGCGATACATCGTGAGCGACCAAACCGATATTGACTGGCGTTCGTCAGTTAAACGGCGATTTCAAATGAAGAAAATGGTCAGTTAGTTGATTTAAACGATATTTAGATATCATAGCCAATCAGAATGAACTTGTGTTTGTTATTTTATTGCATGAAAAACAACTCTTTAATTACGATGTATAATTAGCGGTTGCTAATTGCTAATTGCCCAACCCCTAATTTGACACACACAAAAATAGCAAATAAGGATTTTCCTTAACTCGTTAAAAAAGAAAACAACAGCGAATTTAAAAATGAAGCAAATAAACTCGAGATGTGATGAAACGATACAAGAACCTGCTTGAACCGTTGTAAAAAAAAAAACAAAAACAAAAACAAAACAAAACAAACAAACAAAATGAAACAAACAAAAAAACAACAACATGTTTTACAAGAAAACAAACGATTTATTTAGGCTGCGAATTTCAATGGGCAATCAACATTACCTAAATAAGCAATAACAATGATGATAATAATCATTATCACAATAAATCATTGATATAAATTGTATTTGAATTTAATGTAATTTCTAGTGACCACATATCCTTTTTGGTTATTCCACAGGGAGCCCATCTTATTCATCTGTTCCACTTTTTACAAGTCGACAGTGAATATATTTTCACAGGTTTAAAAGAATCCACAATGAATAAGGTAAGAAAATATTTTTGCTATTTCGTATTTGAATAAGGTGAAGGATTATGGCCGACAGTTCCCTGCTAGCTGAGTCTCTCTCGTTGTAGTTTCCTACGAGTCGAGTACAGTATTTACCCGCTTATAAAACCCACTTTTTTCAAATTTAACCTAAACAGGTTCTTATGTCAATGGTGCTTAGTGGAATTTTAGGCTACGCAGGTCCTTAAATATAGGTTCTTATTTATCCCTTGTGCAATGAAAATCTACAAGAATTTCACAAACATTAATACCAAATTTATTACATGTTCAAGTTCACTACAGTTTGAGTACTACATGTATGTTTTTTTTACATGAAGATTTCAGTTTGAGGTTAATTTCTATAAGAACCTTTCTATAAGAACCTGTTTCAAATTTTAGGCTAAATAGGGTGAATGGGGTCTTAATTGATATTTTTAGGGTAAGTACTGTAATCGATTAGAGCGGTTAAAAATTTTATTAACCCGTGAAACACACGTTAGTGTATTTATCGCTATTAAACTTTGGCTCTTTTGTTTTTACTGTCTCTACGCGACTATTACGATCTATTACACTCTAATTATTACACTTTGTTTCACGGGTTTATGAAAACCACTCCACTCTTCGGAAACTACAACGAGAGAGACTCTGCTGCAAATTGACCTCTTGTTTGTCCGAATCCCCTGCTCTGTTTATCCCCCATACCGGGCTTTGTTCCCGTCATGAGTAGTGATTGGCCAGATCCTAGGAGGCGGACACTGACATGCATTTTGCAATGGCCGAACGTGAATCAGAATCAACAGCAAAGGCATAGCGAGAAATAAGGAAATAAAATTAGTTTCTGAGTTGAAGTATTTTTGAATTTTAGTTATTCATTGAAGTTGCTCTTTTGATCCTGTCGATAAAAACGTGGTTTTACTGTGCCTAACAAGATGTCGAATTAGACTTCGGCACGCTGTAGTTAGTCTGCGTGCATCACGGGTAAACGCTGGATGAATACTTCGTTTTCATGTGACGTCATCGAAAAACCAAAACCAGAAATAAACATCTTATAATAATAATTTCAAAATATGTTTTAGAAACTATTGAGATGACTAACATGGAAAAGTTTGAAGTCATTTCGTTGTTTTGTGCTCAAGTTATAAGGGCCCAAAGTCTGTCACGGCAAGACTGTCACGCGTTTCTTATTAGCGACGAAACTCAAAACTAATTCACCTAAGATGGAAGATTTTACCTTAGGCATGTTCAGAGTATTTATTTTTAGTATATTTCAGTAAAAGATATTGAAATATGTCGAAAAATCCATCATAATTAGTCTTTGAAGTTTCGGACATTTTGCTGGAGGTATTGACATATTGACCAGAACGCTTTCCGAAAAGAAAGGCTCTATAACGTTGAAACTTTACCAGTTTATGTAGTTTTAGTACAGCTTTACAATATTATAAAGGTTATATTTTATTACAATGCGAATTTAAGTTCTTGAAAATGATAATCCCTTAGATGAAATAAAAGAATAGACCTAATCGGCTAGCGGCGTTGTTATGTACGTTGCCACCCAATTCAAATCCTGTGGGAAGAAGAACTTTTGTTTCTAAGAATTCDACTATGAAATGAAAATACAACGAACAATGAAACTCACTCCCTTGTGGTTTGAATTGGGTTGAAGCCGATTAGGTCTATTCAGGCTAGCTGTAGACGGTCAAATAAATTTGCTTAGGAAAATTTTACTAAAACAGGAAATATCTAGTGAAACACATAAAAAAACCCGTTTTTGAAGAATTTTTGAATTCAGTCATTAGTTTCTCAGTTTTAAAATGTGAAACGAATCTTTGTGATCAAAACCCAAGGAAAGACTTTTATTTACACATATGAAAAAAACCCACTGATATTGTTGAAATTTGAGAATGCGTCCGAGTGGTGATTGACAACAAGCTATGGAAAACTGGGAACGGATTGGAATGACCGGAATGGCGATCTATCCATTCCAAACAGTCGAGCGCCCCTTTCAATTGTTCACAACTCAATAGCAATGCAAATTAGTGTTTTATTTAACAACAACAGACATCATTTTATAGCTTTTCATTGATTTATATGACGCAGTTCAGATCACAGTTCATATGCTTGGCTGCCTCTTGAGAAATTCAACAATGACCACATTATGTTCAAGTAAGACACCAGCCAACTCGTATGGGAAATTTTTTCTTGATAAAATCTTCACCTCCCAACCTGTCTTGCTTGCGATGCTCCTGAAAAGCTCCTCAGAACCCAAGCTAAAGGAAAATGCAACAATTAGCCTTCCCTGCTCCTTCAGAAAGTTGCCCGCTTCTTGGAGGAATCGCATAAAACTTCTGTAGCCTGGGTCCAGTACACTATACAGCAAAGTTTCGACTTTAGCATCCTTGTCCGTTGACTGACCAGTCCATGGAAGATTCCAGTATATCATGTCAAACTTCCTGCCATTGATCTCCTCGTTATTAAACACATCGGCGACAACAGCTTTGACTTTATGTTCCACTCCATGAAGTTTTGAATTTTGCTTTGCGTTGGCTACAGCAGCTTCATTGATATCGGCCGCCCAAACTCGACATTTATCGGACGCCAAAGCGACAAGAACTGACGTGTATCCCGCTCCACATCCAACTTCGAGGAAATCGAAGGACGAGAGTTTCGCTAGTTCCTCTTCAATGGTCTTGTCCAGAACTTCGCTGATGTATTCGGTCATGTCCAGGCTTATACTCGGGTGGTAAACATCACTGTGGATTGCAAATTCCTTGTTGAGGATAGTTACTTGTGGAATTGTATTAGCAAATTCTCGCATTTCGTGAGACTTGAGCGTTTGAGCCTCTAGCTCGCTTATTTCACTCATTTTGAATCGTGCCCTTTCGCTATTCTATGCTGGCCAGCTATGTGAAGCGATACTAAGTTGTGGCGAGAATAAGTACACTCTTCAATGTACTCGACCAATCAGGGTAGACCGGAAGCTGTACGTGAAAAGTTTGAGCGGATGTTTGGAAATAACCTTTGCGTTGAGTCACGTAGTACTAGTCATAATAATAAGCAAAAAGCCAGTAAAAAAACTCGCAGTCTTGTAAATGATCGCCAATTGACTTTTTGCACAAAGTCCAGTTGAATTTGTGATATCCCTCAAGATACTGCAAAGAAATAATTAAAACTTTGAGATTGTTCAATAGTTTATTTATTACACGCTTCGATTCTTCTAGATTGTTTGGTAATATCCGGATATTCACGCACCGCTGTTTGAAAAATTCCATCAATTAAAATCAATCTTGCGTTAGGTATTCTTTACGGGAGAAAGGCCTATATTAACAAAAATCGCTTATTTAAGAATTTGATCAGCTCTTTTGTGTGAATTGTGAACTTTGCCCCTTATTAAACATAAAGGTTTGATAGTTGATACACGTTACCACCAAGAGGGACAAGGAAATCTCTAGATTTTTCTCTGCCACCATGTCAACGTATACGACTTTTGTCGCCGATAATCACACGAAAAGGACGAGGCGCCGTGTATTATTAAGCTTAGTCATTCTAAAAAAGATTGACTTATTCTGCGTGGTGGCTTCTACCCTTGGTTCCAGAAGCAGGATTTAGTCTTCTCAAAGTTAAGAAGTCTGAGAAGAACATCCTGTTTACATAATGTATCTTGCCAAAACTAAACTTCTGATGGTCTTGACTACTCGTGTTTCACAAAGCCTTGTTATTCTGGTGTGGCATACTTGCATATGGAACGGATATTACATGGGCGCGCGGAGATACGAATATCACGGAAATGGCGCCATTTTGTGCTGCAAAGCATGATGGTAGTTGTAAACCCCGCTAAAACATTCCTGAAGTGTTTTTGCTTTTTCTAAGTCAAAATTGATGTTTCTTTTCATTTCTACAAAAAAAAAAGCCTAAAAAGGGTTTTAAGTAGGTGTTTTAGGGTCTGTTATAAGTGAGGACTTCAACTACCATCATGCATTGCTGCACAAAATGACGGCGCTGCTGATGACTCATCAGGCATTGGATTGCCTGTTAGTATGTCATGAGTCAGCGCAACGAACGCGAGAAGATAAAATCCACATCTTCAAAAGAAAAGAAAAGAAAAGAAAAGAAAAAATACGAATGCGCACGCTTTTATCGCATCGGCGCGAGCGCTTTGTGGATTACCTGTGGTATTAAGTCATGCTTTTGATCCCCTGTGTCTTTGTTGTTGTCTTTATGTCCTGATCACCGAACTGGTTGACTGTATATTTGCAGGGTACTAAAAATGAAAGGAAGATTCTAGCCTCTACAAGAACAACAAAGATGTTGGTATACACTGATGGGAACCTCTCAACAACTAATACCAGAAAAAGAAAGACGACATTGAACGCGAACGACAACATTTCTTTAGTGAGTGCTGAAAATATTTGAAAGAAAAATGAATGAAATTTTGCATAAAGTGTAATTGTAACATTGTTAAAGTCGTTAAGGGCCATGGCTCACCGCCATCCCTCTTGAGGTTTTGTTTATGCTTAAAAAAATACAAATACATCGTGATAAAGGCAAAAATTTCCACTTTCTTATCTCTTTATTCTCTATGCATGGATGCATTCTAAGATTTGACCTTACAGCCACCCCATTTAACATATATGGAAACTCTGAAACACGACCACATTGAATGCCGAGTGACCATGTCCCTTCCATGATATAATATATATTAAAAAAAAACAAAATTTGAGGAAAGCACCAGTTATTCTTTGTCATATGTCTTAATAGGACATGCCACCAAAGCGCTCTAAAGGCATTACTGGAAACGCTCAATTGCCCACGGTACAAACCACTGACCAACGTAGCAAAATTGCAGGCTCGAGGACTGGGCAACCTAAAGTACTTTCATATAAAGTAAGATCTATTATACATGGTCGCTCTTATAAGAATAATCAACGCATATTACACTTGATCCTCCTTAATCCGGCCACTAAAGGGGGCATCAAAAAGTGACCGTAATGAAAAGTACGAAGATTAAATTTACCGGGATATAAACTGATTGAGGTCTGGCCGTTTTAAGTGGAGTGGTCGAATTAAAGGGGTTCCACCGTATTCAACGGAAGAAACGAAGGACTACGGATTCGGGGAATCGGAAAAGAGAATTGACTGAATAAAGTGATATTTGTGACTTGCAGGGGGTCATCACAAAGTGTTTTCCACGTCCACACTTTGGTTGTTATGAACTTGATGGAAAAGTGAGGTAAACGAACATGTCAATCATGACTATTTAGAAAACTGAGTTGCTTTGGTTTAATGAATAGTACTAAATTGTACTAAATTATGCAAATTCCTTAACTTTCTTTTGTAGAGTGATCGCACTTTAATCCGTGCAACTGTACAAACTAAATAGTGCTTTTTAGTTGTATTTAGTAAATCGTGCATGCGGTACGCAAACTAAATTGAATTGATACAAATGGAGCATTCAATACCGTCCTGCTTCAGGTCCACTTTTAGTACAAATTAATACTACTTAGATTTTGCACAGTTGCACGGATTAAGTGCTTTCACTCTAGTATACACTTATTGCATTATTTAGCAGTATTTGGTTACTTCTTTTTTACGCTTTTGCTCCGGTAGACTGATCTCACTTAAACCGTGCAACTGTACAAACTAAATAGTGCGCAAATTAAATTGAATTGATACAAATGAAGCATTCAATAGAATGATCGCACTTAAAGCGTGCAACTGTACAAAATTAAAGTAGTACTAATTTTGTACTAAAAGTGGACCTGAAGTGAGACGGTATTGAATGCTTCATTCATATCAATTCAATTGAATTTGCGTACCGCATGCACGATTTACTAAATACAACTAAATAGAACTATTTAGTTTGTACAGTTGCACGGATTAAGTGCGATTACTTTACCGTCTTACTTCAGGTCCACTTTAGTTTGCTACAAATTCGTACTACTTAGATTTTTTACAGTTGCACGGTTAGTAAGTGAGATCACTTTATCAGATATAACTGGTATTAAGTAGAAATTATGAAAATTATGTTGATCTAGTTCTGTTACAGTAGCACKCAGCATGCATCAAGTCGTTTAAAGCCTGAGCAATGTACAAGTGAAAGTTTACTGAAAGGTGCATTGTGGTTGTCGCAGAAGAGTTGCCAATCTTCTCTTATTATTGGTTTCAGACTATATACAGTTCATCAGCCATGTCCTTACATGGGTCGTGGGATGCGAGTAGGTGCTGAAGTAACTTTGTATAACGTCCATCCAGTGAAAAGCGGAAAGGTAAAGTGATGAAATCAGTGGATTCATTGATTGATTGATTAAAGAGTTAAGGAATAAATACTATTTATCTCTGAGAGATTTATAAATGAATGGTTTGATTTAGTTTCTAATAAGCACGCTTTTGTATATCTTCGTTCGCGAAAGAAAAAAAAGTCCAAAATCTTGATTTTGATTCGAATTAAACGAACTCATTCAAGCCGTTTTGAAAATTTTTAGCGTAGATTTGATTTGCTTGTTCAAACATTATAATCATAATGATAATAATAATAATACACTATTATTTTTTGAGAGTTGATTTAACTCCAAAAGTGGAGTTAAGAAAAAGGTACAGGATGACTCCTAGTTTTAGGAGTAAATATAACTTACTCCGGATATTAGTTAAAATTATCCATAGTGGAAATAGAATTACCCCTGGTGGAGTTAACTTTACTTTCATTACGGAGTAGATTTAACTCCCTTTAAGGTTAGTCCATTGGGTGGAGTAAATTTAACTCCCTTGACAGAGTTATATCAACTCCTTGAAAATAACAGTGTATATTAGCGATTAATAAACCCGAAAACCAGTATAGAATTCTGAAGCTTTTGTGTCAACTAAGTGCTTTTCAGTAAAACAAAAGAAATTCGCCATGATTTATCCCCAATATATCCTACAATGCATTGCGTGAGCGGTATATGACGTAAAAGCTTCAAAGGTCTATTGGTGAGGGTATTTCACTTTATTCTATTGTAGGAGTTCCTGGGTCTTTGCTGCTGCACGCTTAGCTCAGTTCGCGTCTCAAAATTCTCTACATTTTGCTCCGACTGGAAGGTATTTCAATGTTTATATATTTTATTCAAACAAGATGTTTATTGCTATTATATTGTCATATTAACCTTTCTCTTCATAACGCTAATAACTCTCATTACCAGAATTCCCAGTGTTTAAAAACCCGCATTTTGGCGCCAAAAACATTAGTGCTGGTTCGTTTATTTGTGTTTTTAGAGCATTCAATCTTTAGCCCCCTCTTCGTCTCCTCAGTTCCAAATAAACAATCAACAAAAAAAAAGAGAAAATATTTAGCTGGAATTTTGAAAATTGGTCCCGAGAAAAAACGAAGGTCAAGACGAAGATACGTTTAGTTTCTATATAGTTGCTAGCAAGGCTGACATAGTGAGTTTTCTAGTGTATTTTAGGACATTTTYAAAGGTTAAAACCGCGATGGTTAAGCGTTCCTTTGAAGTCATTCATTAATTCATTTGCGCAAGTTTGGTTAGAGCAACACGGGTCTAAAAAAAAAATCGTTTATTTTTTCAGCCCTCAGTTTTTTCAACCAGTCCTACTGCTTTRCACGGTCAAAATATGTCTCTGCAAGATTACGTGGAGTTGACGCATGCGTGCGAGAAGMTTTTGGAGAAATTTTCAAAGTTTGAAAGGTTTGTCTCTTGCTGTTTTATTTGTTTTGTTTTTTGTACTTTGATGTTGGTAGACCGCATGCACTAAATATCGCAGGSCCGCGTCGATGAGATGTTTTTAGTCATTGACCTCTGATATTTTCTGTGCTAAAACCTTTAAAGATCTCGAAAGTTAGTTAAAGTCAAAAATCAACGAACTGTAGCGATATCGGTGTAATTTTAGGGCACAAAACAGCGAACCACTGTCCGAAAATATTTCGTTTTCGTGCGCCCGACTGAGATATGATTCAAAGCGTCAGAGATTATCGCAGAGCTCGTTGTTTAGAAGGCAACAGAATCCGTTGCGTTAACGAGCTTTTACTTATATTTTAGAACAAGCAAATTAATTGGGTACTCATCAAGTCGACAGAAAAGGTGAGGGAAATATGCCAGTTTTCCGTTCAAAAACAGTGACCKCTGATTTATTTGACAGCAGACTCTTGAACGAAAACTGACTAGAAACGAAAGAAAGCACAAAAAATGTTGTCCCTTTAGTAGTCCCACAAACTTGAGTTTTCGACTTGCCCTGTATTTCCAGACAGATATATTTTTTTACACTGGCTTAGCCTAAAATCGCAGAAAAGTCTCTTCTTAACACCTTTATTTCTAACAGTTTGCAAGACAAAATTCTCAAGCAGTCGGTCATTGAAAAGTTACTCCAAGAATGTACAACAAAATCTCGTTTTCCACGGCAACCAAGAAATATTTATCAAGAATTTTTCGATCATCCTCATGCTTGCTGTCCTACAAGAAACGAGACCCTCGACCTACCGATGGTCTACACCATTGAAGAACTAAGGGGGKTGGTATTGGWAAAGAGYAGACGATTACCATGGCAATCAGGTGTTGTTGATGTRCCAAGTGGGGAAGATGATGATTGGAAGTTTCGTGTTGTTGACAGCAGCTCAATTTGCGAAAAACTGGTAAGTTTGTAAATATTATTGATTTATATTTATCAAATTGATATTTATTATTATTATGTTATAAATAATTATGAGCTGCAGTTGCATTAGTAGATAACTAGTACTGTAATAGTTATCAATATTATCGCTACATGTATGTGCACATGCGTGATATTGCGTGACATATTATTATATGACACGTGATATATTATATGTGACTTGCGTGACATATAATTGTCCGATTTTCGAAATATGTCGATGAATTGATCAAATGCGGTCAATTTTCATTTAATGTTGACCTTCTTTTAAACGCCTTTAACACGATGTCATATCACAGACTGAATATATAAAGCAGATTTCACCATTAGATATATATTTATGGACTTCATTTTTGGACGTCGATTTATCKTGAGTACGTAAAAAGTTACTGGCAGACAGATTATAACACATTATAACATGGTAATAATTTTTCTGGTGGTTCTACGCCAGTCTTAAGGAACGAACCAGAAACTATTTCCAAGGTTCAAATTGAGTTTTTAATATGGTAATAGACTAAAAGTAGTTGCTGAACAAGTTGGGTGTCCATTAGTGACCTGGRAACGAACGTCCTAACAGCTGCGAAAGGAGACAAGGTGTCCATTGGTGCACCGAGTATATCCCCTAACACTACCGATACACCCATAATAAGTCATTTTAAACCAATTTTCAATATTTTCATGATATTTATATTTTTATGATACTTTTATATTTTTTATCTCATTGTGATCTACCACTTTCGCGTGCTTTTTCACCATCGAATGTATAAATATTATGGCGGTTTGTTTATAGAAATAACTTTTTTTAAATAAGGTATACACACCGTTCTACATTCACTCTGCGAACAGAGCTACTTTTCTCACCCGCCGTGAAAGCTTTCTCGGCGGGTGAGAAAAAGTAGCTCTTTTCGCAGAGAATCTGCCAGATTTTACTACAGCTAAGACGTACTAGGGATTTTTGGTGTCTTTTTCCCCCCATTATTTGAATGAGATATATCTGAAAATAAATAAAGCGGGATGGCTTGAGAAAGACTTTATATTTATTAAAGTAAACTTGCAATGTACACTATTATATTTCGGTGTTATCAAGAAGCCAAAGTTTTCGGCGATATTGATATTACATGTATATTTAATGAAACTTCAAAAGTTTCTTTAATTTCTTTAATTTTCTTAGTGTAGATATATATTACATAAAAAAACAATAAACAATTTCTTTCCGATTCATATATTTAATTTGCCGAAGCGGTAAAAGTGTCGCGAAATATATCCATTTCATTATACGCAAGTTTATTTCTCAAACGACTTGCCACATCATAGTCCTACATCATTGTCACCAATTATTCCATCTCCACGATATCTTTCTAAATTTGACTGTTGATATTTTGATATTAAAATTACTACGCTCTTTATTGAAAATCTTTTATCGAAGTGTAATATGGACATTGCCTTCACCATCTGCAGATGTTTTGGTGACCTTTTCCCGTATCTTTTGATTAAAACTGAGTTGTTTGTGGACTATAGCTACAGTTGCCTATTTAAGAGTCTGCATAACTTCTGAACTAGAGCAAAAAAATAACGGTACTCACTTAGTCCGCATAATCATTTCAAAATGAACACATCCTTAGTTCACTCACAATTGACAATCCATGGTGTGAGTTACTGTAAAAGGTACGATCCTGGAAACGCTTTGACACGAACAACAAAAATCATGGCAATTTTTTTATCGGGCGGTTTTGGTATCTTTGCCAATATCTTCGTCATCGCCCTTGCTGTAAAATACACTTCTAAAACAAGGCTTCATCCTTGGATCATCAACATGGCCATGGCAGATTGTTTTTACTCTCTTTTAGGGTTATTGCGAGAAGCTTACAGTATTCAGATTAAGTTTCAAGCAACTTCATTTTTTTGCAAGTCTTTCTTTGTATTCTTGAATGTTCCGTCATTGGTTTCTTTGATATCTTTGCTTATARTAAGTTTTGAAMGATTYAGAGCAACGCAGCCATCTCTGAACAGGATAAAGCCATACWCGYTGAAGCGTATGGCTGTCTTGGCTTCTTCCTGGGTTGTTTCWRKRCTTCTMTCATCGTATTATTCCGTTCTGTATTATCTAAGTAAAAGAGGCCACTGTGCTCAAGTTCCATCTACAATTTTGTCCATTCTCGGTGCTTTTGAAGATGGTTTTGTCTTTCTATCGATGWTTACAGTWTCTKTGTTGAGCGCTTTTACTTTAAACAGACTATCGAAACCGCAAGCGATTCATCAAAGTATGCCCGAGCAACAGCGTCAACAACGAGCAAAGAGCATCTCCCGTGTAGTGAGAATGGTCTTGTTTTCATTATTTSTGTACTTCTTGTGCTATACWCCCATGCGAATCACCAATTTTGTGTKGAATTTGKCCTTTTTTGAAGTATTGGAACTAACTGATAAGATTGGGAGTGTTTGCGTCGACTACGCTATGCTRACCTACATGGTTTTTTCWTTCCTCCCGATTCTAAATGCRTGYWTTAGCCCATGCATCTACGTCGCCTGTCTTCCGGACTTTCGTAAGGCAGCCAAGAGGTTGCTCTGTAATACGCGTGCGCAGCAAGGTAGCGAAATGGGAAGAATGAATAATGGACTCTCAGCGGAATTAGAACTGCATACAATTAGATCAACACCGAAAYACAACTAATTCTCTAATTGCAACACGTTTCTCTTTACCCATTTCAGCCAGTCAATGCGAGGCATATGTAGTAGTTATATTAGTTATAATACTCTTTATTCTTATGTCATTTAGATCTTTTTTTATGGTATATAGGCGAATAATTTATTTATATTTCGGTTCATTAGCATAATTATCGTTATAAGCATATGCCGTTTTAACCTATATCAGTAAATCAGCACTGAATGTTGAAAGAACATAGCAGGATAAGCTTTCCTCCCAATTTTGAGCCTTCCATATGGAATACTTTTTGCGTCAAACTCCACTTTTTAGAGAGATTATATGAACTAATTAGGTCTTTAACCACTCAGCAACTTTGAAAGCTAAAATCTCATGAACTATTGCATGTAAAGACCTCAACCTTTCGTAGTTTATAGCTCTTAATAAGCCTTTTTATGTAATGAATTTATTTTACATTTTCTCTTTATTTAACCTTTATGCTAATTAGCAAAATTTTGTAAACAAAGATCTGCCTATATGTATTTAGGCTCAGTCTCCAGCCGTCGGGATTTCGTGCGCCCGCGATACTCTCTCCCYTGACGGCTGGGCGCATGGGGTTCGCTATTGTCAGTCTCGACCAATCAGCGAGTGGCCCCTGATATTTCCAGGGGCATATCATTAATAAATTAGCAGGCAGCCGTCGTCGCAGTGTAACAAAGTGGCGGACAATTCGTCGTGTGAGATTCTCGTTTGAACGCTCTGAAGTCGTTTAGCTTGGACGAATTTAGAGAAATACAGCAAAAGGCTCTTAAAGAGATTGTTCTTGGAAAAGATGTCCTTGTTATTCTTCCTACTGGCTCGGGCAAATCTCTTATTTTTCAAACAGCGCCACTAGTGTATTTTGCTCGTCTTTCTGGCAGATAATATATCCATTTGGATTATTAAACCCTACACATGTTTTACTTGGGGTAATTTCCATTCCTTTCTCTTTTTTTAAAGCGCTAACTATTACATTATATCGCCACTTCGCCAAGTTTTCATTTCACATAATTTCCCGTCTTGTAGCAAAACCTTTTAATACGGCTGTTGTCAGATATTTCACTTCCGTTCACTGAAAAATTCACTTCCGTTATTCATAATATGCTAATTACACAAAAACGTCACGGACATGCGCGACACGTTTCGAACCCCATGCGCCCAGCCGTCAGGGGAGAGAGTATCGCGGGCGCACGAAATCCCGACGGCTGGAGACTGAGCCTA